ATTAGTTGACTCACAAACACATATATCACCATTCACTTAACTTGCTGGTTCCTCTGTAGGACTGAATCAGACCATCCATTAGTAGCCTTAATGTGTAAGACCTGAGTCTTACACATTAAGGCTACTACTTGATTGTCATAGTTTGGTATAATTGTTTAAAAAAATGAGACAAAGGTGGAGACAATGGGGAGCTTCTGTCTCACAGCCGTGGTGTTATGCGTACAGATGTTTCTGAAAATTAAAACCACATTTCCTATAAATCCTGTTGCTTCCTGCTATACCGGAGATTGTTTTTATGCCAGCCACCACCGACCAAAATGCCTGCTCAGTTTGTACCACACTGACGACAGTAGGAAAACCTCAAGAAACGTGCACAGTAACGATTTACCGATGTTGAATTGCTGCATGTAACACCTTTAAGTGGAAACTCGTGCGACATCTATACAGCCTGTACTTTGAGCCCATATGAGGACAACACATCCACAACTGCCCCAAAACTCAACTTTTCCATCTCAAGAAAAAGCACCTCTTTCACAACGAGTGATGCAAGTGATGTATGGAGCCATAAATCAAGTGCACCCAAGTCTCTGTGCATTGATAGGAAATAGTAGATAACCCTCTGACTTGACCGCGCTAATCGGATCTGTTCATCTGCTAATGGACACAAACATGCGGAGAAAGAGGAATGTGTTATTCTCTGCAGTAGTGGAGCGGTACACGAGTGGTTTGGAAAGGTATTTGTAGGTATGTGTGTGTGTTTCTGTGCCAGAAAATGATAAAAATGAAGAAATGTTCCAGTAATTATTTTAATCCGGTGAACCTCTGATACGGTGAAGCTTGTAACTGATACTACATTTCTTGTCTATGGAATTCTAAGGAAAAACATTATAGGTATAATACTGTTTCCCACAAACAAAAATCTTAAAGTAGCAATCAATTTTCATAAGACTAAAGGACTCACAAGAGAGATTAAAACAAGAATGGGTCAAAATCGAAGCAGCGGAGGTACTATGTCTCTTGTTTGCACTATACTCTATGCTGCTGTAATCCTGTATATTTCCCCGCTGTGGGACTAATAATGGATTATTTTATTTTAGCTCTTATCCTGACTCTTCGTCCCTCGTGTCCCTCGAGTGCCAAGCTCCAAAAACACTGGATCCTACATTTCCCATAATGCAGCTCAATGGATTGGTCAAACTCAACATCTCAGTTTGTGCCACAGGCTTTTTACAGAGATGCTAAGTCCCGCCCCTTTCAGTGTCCCGCATATATGGGACCTTATTTCAGAAAACATTCGTACGGTAGTCAACGGCGAGAGACAAATTATGATCCCGTTTGATTTGTACCATGAATTAGATGTATGAGGTTTGTCAATTTATTTTGGGTGTAGCCTTTTTAATTACTTATATGTCATTAGTTTTATGACAAAATGAGACTCTTGATGAGCAAAATTATCTTTTAAATTAACAAACATCATACGTGGCACAATTCAAATGAGATCAAATAATAATTTGTCTCTCTTTTTACTTTTTTCTGAAATAAGGTCCCATGGTGGTCAACCAGAACGGGGCGGGACTTTGCCTCTCTTTCATAAATATGTCATCTCCGAGTCCAAGCTGAGATAACCCTGATGACATCACTGTGACATCATTGAGGTTATTTTCTCTAGGCTTGACAAAGACGACATTTTTCAGCTGTTTTCACAGTATGAGAGTGGTGCTGACCATGAGATGCACTTAATAGCTTCTTCCAGAGCTTTCAACCACAAGATATCTCCAGCCACACATGACCACCTATCACATATTTATTGTAATATATTTTCTATTTCTATTATTAAGATCGGACTTTCAAGCTCAATATCTGAACTCAAACTTATCAAAACACTTTTAATTTTTGAAAATAAAAGTGTCAGCCTCTGGTGGACAAGGGTGAGAGATGGAGAGGAGGAGAGGAATGAGTCAGAGAGGAGGGTTGATTGTGTAATCCCTCACTCAATGTATTCCCAATAAAGCTCAAGAACCATACAATGGCCCATTGAGGCGGCTGCCTTGGCCACTGTGATTGGCAACAGCGGTGTTGTCTGCTGACGTGTGTGTGTGTGTGTGTGTGTGAGAAGGGAGAAACAGAGGAGGAAGAGGAGACATTGTTGAGGAGGTTTGGTCTTTGTCCTAATCCTAATCTTGACTAATTCCTGTTGCCCAGAACCATTACAGGATAGAAAAGAGTCGCACAGCTGCCTCTTTACAGACCTCAAAAACCTTCCAGATGGGAAGCACACACACACACACACACACACACACACACACACACACACACACAC